AGTGCGGCACTCCCTCAGCACTGACCTTCCGACAGTGCGGCACTCCCTCAGCACTGCATCGGGAGTATGGGTCTGTATTTTCTGTGACTTGAAGCCACAATATTTGGATTGTGAGCTAAAGTGCTCCTTACGAAGCTACAGCTGATGTGACCCTGTCTCTGAAATGCTGTGCCTGGAGTTGGAATTTCTGTTAGATCAGTGACACTCTCTGTCACCTGTAACCTCTGACCCAAGGCCTGTTTAGTACGATATTTGAGCTGGGAATCTTTTCCTGCTCAAACCTGAAAGCCCCTTGGCCCCTTCTCCTGTTGTCCCAAGAGTGAAATGAGATTTGATCTCTGTCTCTCTCTCTCCATGTCACTCTGTCACTCTCTCTCTGTCACTCTCTCTCTCTGTCTCTGTGTGTGTCTCTCTCTCTCTCTCTCTGTCACTCTCTCTCTCTGTCACTCTCTGTGTGTGTATGTCTCTCTCTCTCTCACATACACTCTCTCTCACTCTCTCTCTCTCACTCTCTCACACTCTCTCTCACACTCTCTCTCTCTCTCACTCTCTCTCTCACACTCTCTCTCACACTCTCTCTCACACACAATCTCTCTCTCACTCTTTCTCTCTCACACACTGTCTCTCTCTCACACACTCTCTCTCAGTCTCTCTCTGATTCTAATGGACCTTTCCCAGGCACTGTGACATTTTCCAGTTCCCTCACTCTGCGGTGAGGTTGGAGAGAGCCTGATGATGGGGTGTTCCCTGCAGCTGCTGGTAGAGCTGTGCTCAGAGGGCCATGATTCAACGATGGTAATGCAAATGGAATTTAATCGTGAAAAGAGTGAGGCGATACCTTTTGGGAAGACTAACAAGGCAAGGGAGTATACAAAAAATGGTGAGCCCCTAGCAGGTGCAGAGGATCAGAGGTACACTGGTGTATGTGTCCACAGATCCTTGAAGGCAACACGTGGTTGAGGTGGTTAAATATTGGGATTTTTGCTTTTGTTAGTCAAGGCATTGGAAGTTATGATGGAGCTGTGTAAGATATGAGTTAGGCCACAGCTGGAGCACTGTGTGCAACTCTGGTCACCAATGTAGAGGAAAGATACGATTGCGTGAGAGAGGGTGTAGATGCAATAAGCCGGAAGTTGCCTCGACTGGGAGCATTTCAGCTATGAAAAGAGGTTAGATAGGTTGTTGTTCTTTTCGTTAGAGTGAAGAAGGCTGAGTGGGAGTGGGGTTGGGGGTAGGATGGCTGTGTACAAAGTTCTGAGGGGCACAGTTAAGGAGGGAAGGGAGAAACCTTTCTCCTTCATAGAGGGATCAATGAGCAGGGGCACATTTTTAAGGTAAGGAACGGGAGGTTTGGAGGGAATTTGAGGAAAACATTTTTCACCAGAGGGTGGTGGGAATCTGGAACTCACTGTCTGTAAGGGTGAGAGAGGCAGAAACCTGCTGAACATTGAAGAACTATTTAGACGGTCATTTGAAGAGAGTGCACACACAAGGCCAAGAGCTGGGAAATGGGATTAGAACAGATGGACGTTTGATGGGGTGGTATGGACACGATGGGCTGAAGAGCCTCCTTCCATGATGTTACTTACTGGTCTTGCTGTGCTTCGGGGAGTTTCTCCTTCTGTGAGAGAACCCACTCCTCAACGTGAGACAGGGAAGCTCTTGGTTGTGGATCCAGATAGTCAGTCCCAGGGTGGGAGCCCCCATTGACTTGAAGGTCTCTGTCCTGGATCCCGCTGGTGGGAGTGGGAGGAGGGACATGCTGTAGCTGGGGCGGGGGGCTGAGCTGCCTGTGAGTTTGGCCTGTCTGCAGTTTCACTTCACTCAGGGACCTCAGCTGCTGCCTTGGGCCTGAGATTACAGCAACCTGCAGGGACTCAGAGCTGTGACCATTCTCCCCGTCCCGGAGCAAGGTGCAGTTTGTGAAATCTTCAAAGCTGTAGTACCGCTGTTCCTGAGGAAGACGCTTTGAGGCGATGCTGTAAAAATAAACAAAAAGGTCAAGAAACTGATGGTGAATTGGGCACAATGGTTCAAAGTGAACTCCCAGGCATGCTCAGATGATAAAACACAATCTATTACTCAATGTAACTGGATACAGAGGGTGGGGTGTCAGTGAACAGCTGACTGCCTCCATTTCTTGTACTTTTGATGGTCCAGTCCTAGGCTTAGTCCCGGAGTCAGAGAGATCTGTAGCACAGAAAAAAAACCTTTTGGCTCATTGCATCTGCACCAGTCAAAAACAGTCCCTTAACTATTCTAATCCCATTTCCCAGCCATTGGCCCATAGCCTTGTACACTGTGGCATTGTAAATGCGCATCTAAATACTTCTTCAATGTTATGAGGGTTTCTGTCTCTAGCACCCTCTAGGCAGGGGGTTTCAGATTTCCAACACCATGGGGTGAGATGGCTCTTCCTCCCATCATCTCTAAACCTCCTGCCCCTTCCCTTAAACCTAGCCCTCTAGACACTGATACCTCCACCAAGGTTCCTTCAGACAGAGGTTCCTTCCTGTCTGTGCTTCCTCTGCACACCCTGCTTTGTTAGCTTTAAACAGCAAACACCTTCTGTCACATGTGCTTCCTCCTCTCAATCCTGTTTCATTTTCACATTAGTCATTGTCCTGATCCCCATTCCAACTATCCAACAATTCCAGCGGTTAGGAAGGTAAATGCGATGTTAGCATTCACTTTGAGAAGGCTAGAATACAAGAGAAGTGATGCACTGGCGAGGCTGTATTGGGATCTGGTCAGACCGCATTTGGAATGTTGTGAGCAGTTTTGGGCCCTGTAGCTGAGGAAGGATATGTTGGCATTGGAGAGGGTCCAGAGGAGGTTTACAAGAATGATCCCGGGGATGAAGGGCTTGTCATATGAGGAGCAGTCGAGGACTCTGGGTCTGTACCAGATGGAGTTGAGAAGGTTAGGGGATGGGATTCTGACTGAAACTTATAGAATACTGAAAAGCCTGGATAGAGTGGATGTGGAGAAGATGTTTCCATTGGTAGGAAAGACTAGGACCCAAGGGCACAGTCTCAGAGTGACAGGAGGACCCTTTAGAACTGAGATGAGGAGGAATTTCTTCAGCCAGAGGGTAGTGCCTGTGTGGGCCTCATTGCCAGAAAGGGCTATGGAGGCCAAGTTATTGAGTGTATTTAAGACAGATGTAGATAGTTTCTTGATTAGTTAGGGGATCAAGGCTTATGGAGAGAAGGCAGGAGAATGGGGTTGAGAAACATAGCCATGATCGAATGGCAGAACAGACTCGATGGGCTGAATGGCCTAATTCTGCTCCGATATCTTATGGTCTTATGGACCACAGTCATAATTTAAGGACACAAGGTAGGCCATTTCAGACTGAGATGAGGAGAAATGTCTTCACCCAGAGAGTGAGGAGCCTGTGGAATTCACTGCCTCAGAAAGCAGTTGAGGCCAAAACATTAAATATTTTCAAGAAGGAGATAGATTTGTTCTAAAGGAATCAAAGAGTATGGGGGTAGAAAGCAGGAATGGGGGACCGAGTTGGGTGATCAGCCATGATCATACTGAATGGCCTACTCCTGCTCCTATTCTCTATGATTTTATGTGCCTGTGCTCACTGCATCTTCACAACAGCTTTCTGTTCTGGTTTGAGGAACTCCGCTCCAGTTCTCTGTATTTCAAGCTCCCACTGTTTAAAAAGATTCTGTCTGTCTATTCCTGCTGCTGTATTCGATCATTTGATGCTCTGTCCATGACAGTGTTAGCTGCTCTCTTTATCCTCGATATCCCTGTGTGCCCCCTCCCAGCTCCTTCCCTTTCGCTGTGTACAAACAGTGAATGCCCTCCATTACCCTCAGCCCTTTATTGAAGTTATTTTCAGGTCCTGGGGAGTCCTGAAGCTGCAGAATAAAACCTGCAGCATGGGATCTTTGTCTGCACTCACTCCAGAGCGGAAATTGCTGGGTATTTTATGGAGTTTGACATTCTAACCCTGTGTTATCCATTCAGTTCCCTGAGGCCTGAACTTTGGTGGGACAGTCTGAAATATTTAATCAAACTACAGGATTAAATGAGAAGGGGCAGTTCCCTTTAGGACTCAAGGAAGGGGTTTGTGATCCTTCACAATTTATCAGTGAGAGGTTCTGAGTGTTTCCATACTTGATTTGTTCAGATTCCACACGTGCTGATTGGCTCAGAGCTCGGATCCAGCCATTCATATCCTCCTGGGTGTCAGCACTGAAGTAATAAGTTCTCATTCCTGGGTGTTCTGCCTATTGGCCAGAAGGTCAACAATAAAAATGAATCAACTTTTCATTCCCGAATGTTTTTCTTGTCTCTCTTTCTGCTCTAAACCTCCCATCACAGCTTTTTAAAACAAAGTCAAGTATTGTCACTTCACCTGGGATCGTCTCTCTGGGATTGTAAGATCCTAGTGGGAGAGGAAGTTGATTTAGAATCTCCACCCAGAGGCTGCCCATTCTCCAAAGTTACAGACATTGCCCATAGATCCTCAGACAGCACTTTCCAAACCCATATGTAAAAGGACAAGGGCAGCAGATACATGGGAACACCAGCCCCCTGCAAGTTCCCCTCCAAGCCACTGTCCATCCCGACTGGGAAATATATCGCCGTTCCTTCACTGTCGCTGGGTCAGAATCCTGGAACTCCCTCCCTAATGGCATTGTGGGTCAACCCACAGCAGGTGGACTGTAGCAGTTCATGAAGGCAGCTCACCATCTTCTCAAGGGGTATCTAGCAGCAGGCAATAAATGCTGGGCCAGCTAACAATGCCTAGGTCCCAAGAATGAAAGCACACCCAGGAACAGCTTGGGTAACGTGGCACCAATGTCACAGTCTACCAGGAGAGGATGATTATCCTGGTTATATCTGGCCCCAATTCTTTTGCAATATCTGAGACTGAGAGTCATTTCTGTTAATTGCTACGCTTCACTGCACAATGTGTTTACAACCAAAGGCACCCCCTGCTCCCTCCACTCTCCCAGCCCTACAGTCAAGCAAAGCCCTTTCCCCCTCTGAGGCACAATTATGTCAACTTCCACCAAATGTTTTCAAATCAAAGTCAGAATTGTCCTCAACCTTGAAAGTGAATTTCCGTGTTATCCGATCCTGTGGTCCAACAACAGAGACGATATAACTTGGCATCGGAATACTGCCCAGGATTCTCTCTTCCCGACTGTCTGTGGAGCACAAGGTAAAGAGAATTAACTTCATCTAGTTACCTTGCCCCAACATAGGTCCCTTACCCCAGTGATGATCTTACCCTGAAATCACACTAAGGCAGAAGTCACGCAATACCAATGCAGAGCAGCAATTGGATGGTGACTGGACAGTGATTGGCTGTAAATGGACAGTACAAAACCAGGAATTGCTGCAAAAGCTCAGCAGGTCTGGCAAAATCTGTGAAGAGGAATCAGAGTTAATGTTTCAGGTCGAGTGGCCCTTCCTGAGAACCCAGAACCCAGTTCTGAGGAAAGATCACTTGACCCAAAACATTAACTCTGATTTCTCTTCACAGATGCTACCAGACCTGCTGGGCTTCTCCAGCAATTTCTGGTTTTGTTTCTGATTTACAGCATTCGCAGTTCTTTCAATTTTTACTTAGTGACGGGACAGTGATTGGATGGTGAATAGACAGTGATTGGATTGCGATTTGCAGTGACAGAACAGTGATTGGATGGTTTTACTGCACAGATCTTAAAAAGTTTTACAATATCTAGATGACATCATTAAACCTGATCTTTTACTATGAGATCTCCAACTTAAACTTTGGTCGATCTGTCAGTCAGCCAATTAGTTAATCCGCTATGTATATAATGTGATATAACACGGGGTGTAATGTTAACCTGAGGTGTCATATTAGTGGATTTGGTTAGTTGTTAATAAGCTTCCAGATATCTGTCTCAACACAGCCCTGATACTCTGTAATTCATGTTACATTGGCTGTACAAGGAAAACAGCATCATATCAGTGGACAGTAATTGGGCACACACAGTTACCTCTGTAATAAAACAAACAGAAATCCGACAGCACAAACCATCTTCTCTTCCACAGTTTAAGTCCAGAGCTATCCTGAAACAGAACACAAACATTTTGGCTCATAAATGTAGTATGTCAGTACCTACAGCACATGGCACACTGAATCATCACTTTAAACAAAATATAGGAGCAAATTACAGCAAATGCTGCAATCTGGAATAAAAACAACAAAAGCTGGAGATCACAGCAGGTCAGCCAGCACCCATGGAGAAGGAGACAACAAGGTGCAGGGCTGGATGAACACAGCAGGCCAAGCAGCATCATAGGAGCAGAGAGGCTGACGTTTCGGGCCTAGACCCTTCATCAGAAAAGGGGGAGGGGAAGGGGGTTTTGAAATAAATAGGGAGAGAGTGGGAGGCGGATAGAAGAGGGATAGAGGAGAGGATAGGTGGAGAGGAAACAAACAGGTCGAAGAGGCGGGGATGGAGCCAGTAAAGGTGAGTGTAGGTGGGGAGTTAGGAAGGGGATTGGTCAGTCCAGGGAGGACGGACAGGTCAAGGGGGCGGGATGAGGTTGGTCGGTAGGAGATGGAGGTGCGGCTTGAGGTGGGAGGAGGGGATAGGTGGGAGGAAGAACAGGTTAGGGAGGCAGGGACGAGTTGGACTGGTTTTGGGATGCGGTGGGGGGAGGGGAGATTTTGAAACTTGTGAAATCCACATTGATACCATTGGGCTGCAGGGTTCCCAAGCGGAATATGAGTTGCTGTTCCTGCAACCTTCGGGTGGCATCGTTGTGGCACTGCAGGAGGCCCAGGATGGACATGTCGTCTGAGGAATGGGAGGGGGAGTTGAAATGGTTCGCGACTGGGAGGTGCAGTTGTTTATTGCGAACCGAGCGTAGGTGTTCTGCAAAGCGGTCCCCGAGCCTCCGCTTGGTTTCCCCGATGTAGAGGAAGCCACACCGGGTACAGTGGATGCAGTATACCACATTGGCAGATGTGCAGGTGAACATCTGCTTGATGTGGAAAGTCTTCTTGAGGCCCAGGATGGACATGTCGTCTGAGGAATGGGAGGGGGAGTTGAAATGGTTCGTGACTGGGAGGTGCAGTTGTTTATTGCGAACCGAGCGTAGGTGTTCTGCAAAGCGGTCCCCGAGCCTCCGCTTGGTTTCCCCGATGTAGAGGAAGCCACACCGGGTACAGTGGATGCAGTATACCACATTGGCAGATGTGCAGGTGAACATCTGCTTGATGTGGAAAGTCTTCTTGGGGCCTGGGAGGGGGGTGAGGGAGAAGGTATGGGGGCAGGTGTAGCACTTCCTGCGGTTGCAGGGAAAAGTGCCGGGTGTGGTGGAGCTGGAGGGGAGTGTGGAGCGGACAAGGGAGTCATGGAGAAGGAGAACAAGTTAATGTTTTGAGTCTAGATGACTTATCATCAGAGCTGAATTCAAAACAAAATGACTTTTTAATAAATGGGAGATTGACATTGATCTATTCACCAAAATAACCTCAAGAGGGCCCACTCTCACTGGGGTACAGTCCCCGAAGGGGCTGACTCTCACTGGGACACAGTCCCCGAAGGGGCTGACTCTCACTGGGACACAGTCCCCAAAGGGGCTGACTCTCACTGGG